CTCCACAGTTTGGGGGGGGGGTGGGCATACATGCCCAGGCACACACCTGGAGCACAGAGGACAACTTGCAGTTTGTTTTTGTTTCTTCTATCATATGGGTCACGTGGTTGAAATCCAGTCATTGGCCTTGGCGGCTAGTTTGTTTGTTTGCTACTGAGCCATCTCGATGGCTCTTATTTTTTTGAGACAGAGTCTCACTAAACTTGGAGTGTGCTCATTTGACCGGGTTGGCTGGCCAGCAAGCCCCAGACATCCTCCTGTCTCTACCTCCCAGACAGGGAATATAATCATATGACCCTGCTATTTCTTACATGAGCTCTGGAAATAGAACCTGGGTCTCATGCTCATGGCAGGCAATTTGCCAGATGAACTCTTAACCCAGCTCCAACAATATCCACCAAGAAGAACAATCATTGTGCTCCCTGCAGCATTATCCATAGCTGCCTGCTGCCTGTTTCTGTGAATAAAGTTTTATTAAAACACAGCCTTGTCTGTGCTTGAAATACTGTTTACAGCTTCTCTGGAGCTGTAAGGATAGGTTCAGAAGTCGCAGGAGAAATCCTAAGACCCCAAAGCTGAATATTTACTATATTTACAATCCAGCCCTGTGCTGAAAAAAAAAAACTTCTGAACCATCCCATCAAAAAATGTTTTATCTTTCAGCAAGTGAGATTTCATTTTCACCACAAAAAAAAAAAAAATAAATAAATAAATAAATTTAAATGGTACAATATAGACTATGTTCTAGCAGCACCACGAGCTGAGGAGAAAACATTCAGGAATAAGAATAACCATTACATTAGCAGCACATAAGAAATTCAAGGTATAAGTTTCTGCCCTGCAAATTTGCTACCGTACATATGAAAACCCTCAGAAATACACCAAACTTAATGTCTAAAAGGAATAATTGGCTCAGAGCTGAAAATTATTTCTGTTGTGCATGCAGGAGAAGAATCGGTAATGCATTACTCCTATTGTGTCAGCTGTGCGGCAGTGAGGCCCAGAGTCCTCAGTGCCAAACAGGCGGTGGAAGCACAAATATTAATCAAAATGACATCTCCAATTTTTCCCCTTCCTAATCAGGCCTAAACATCACGGGACATCCAGTAGATCAATAAGTAAAACTGGAAGCTCTCAGCACTCGATGCTACGGCTCTGCCCTCAGCCAAGACAAGAGCCTTCCGTGCTAACCAAAAATCCCCTCCCTTGGTCATCCATGAGGTAAGCATGCCCACCTTTGACCCAAGAACATCACCCACACGTGCATCCAACCTTGCCACCCGTCAAGGAAAGAAATGGACGGCACAGTTTCAGCATGAAGTCGGCATGGGGGTGAAGCCCTAGAGTACGTCTTTTCTTCCCAGGACCTTTTCCTTGCTATTCCCATCTCATTGACACTTGCTATTTTCCCCTCCTCTGAGATCTAGATGTGTGTGTGTGTGTGTGTGTGTGTGTGTGTGTGCGCGCGCGTGCTGGCAAGTGCGACTCACTTCAGTCAATTGATTCCTCCTTTGTGTTTGGAGAAGCTTGAATACTGGAACAAAGAACACAACCAGTCACGTGTGTCAAACCCTGTTGAGTGAATTGAGCAACCACAGGCAAAGGGACAAAGGCCCAGAAAAACTCCCGGAGTAGAAAAGGCATCGTCCTCCCTCTGAGGAGGTATCAGCTTCAGGACCCTGTGGGCTCTGTGGAGCAGCAGCACCAGACTGCTGAAGCCGGGGATTCAGTCATCCAGCCACTGAGGCCCAGGAACATTTGCGTTACTGCACTTACCCATCCGTTCACTCGTTCATTTAACCATGTGCCAGGCACATCAGTGAGCAGTCATATTCTATTTCTTAGGCTTCCCTCTAACCACTTTATGGTCTTAGCCAGTATTTTCTGCTCCCTACCATTATGAAAAAATTCACTTGGAAAATCTTCCTGACTCCAGATTTTTCCATCTTTATATAAAAAGAATAAACTTAAAAATAAAGCATGATAAAGATGACGGTTCCACCTTAAGCAGCTGATATCCAGCTTGGGAAGGGAAAGATGGTCTCCTAAATCTTAAACAGATGGAGCTAAAGAGATAACTCAGAAGTGAGGACCACTGTCTGCTCTTCCAGAGGACCTGAGTTTGATTCCAAGCACCTTCATGGCAGCTCAAAACCATGTATAACACTAGTTCCAGGGGATCAGATACCCTCTACTGACATCCACACCCATGTGGTACCTAGACATATATGCAGGCAAAATACCCATATTCACAAACTAAATACATGTAAACCTAAAAACATAAAAAGAAAACCTTAAGTGAAAACAAACAAAAAAAGTTTGCAGAGATTAAAGGCAATCCTCAACAAAGCTAATACCATGCAAGGTTAAAACAAGTTAGGTAATCTTAGTTTAAAGCAGGTCTGAGGTCTGATGGTCATTAGGGGAGAATCTGGAAAAAAGTGAGGGATACGAAGACTCAGATAGATGTATAAGTAATACCACTTTCATTCCTAAGTGAATTCTTAGATTGAGCTGATGTCATTTTATTTATATTATTTATTTTTTAAAAGATACCACCATAGTTAACACCGATTGGAAAACCTCATTCAGAAACAAAACAAAACAAATTCCATAGGTTAATTTGGTAGAAAACATGCACTTACTATTTGATACAACAGTTCTACAGAAACAATGTTCACAGTCAATTATAGGAGACTAGTGAATTAAAATATGTTCTGTCCATAACGACCACTATACTGATCACTGTCCATTGGACAGCCCAGCCCATCTGCCCCTACCTCCTGTGTCCTGCTCCATGCTCACTGAGGCTGATGCCAAGAACCAGAACCTCTGATGTTTAGTGGGATTAAATAATGAAGGCGATTATAAGAGGATGAAAATCACTTCAGCGCTCTCCCTCCTTCGACCCTGCAAATCTGGCTAGAGTGTCCCCTGGACTTCCTGGTTTTCAGTTGAGTTCCAGTTCTTTCTGCTTCATTTATCAGGGGAGGAAGAGAGAGATCCCTCGTGTTGCCCATGTCCACGTGCTAGGGAACTCATCACTCATCCCCTCATTCCCAGCCTGCTCCCTCACCACATACTTGCAAATACCCCATTCGTGAATTTTTCATCATTTGACAAATATGAGTCAAATCCTGTTTCCTGCTAGAACTGTGATTGAAATATAACGCGGGCATCTGTTTACTGACATGGAAACGTGCAGAGCAGTAGGGAGAGAGCGTTTATAGCATGTATGTTTTGATAGTGAGGTGGACTAGCAGGACGATGAACCTTTGTGAGGGGCCACATGGCTTTTCATTTGTTCTCGATTCTATCATCTGGTCACCAAGTATCTACACTTAAATATGCAGCTGCAAACGTGAGTAAGCACTTGTGTTCTACAGGAAAGGGCTTCATAACAGGAGTGAAGATGTGCTAGAGTCTTTGATGATGATGGTGGTGGTGCGGGTGGTGCTGGTGGTGGTTTAGCTAATATTAGTAATGATTCGCTGTCGTTTTCCGATGAGAGATATTTCCTGATTTAATCCTATATGACTACATCTACTCCACAGACAAGGGAACCATTTTGCAGACAAGCCATGTGCCTTGCCCATGTGTTGATAAGTTTCCCTAAAAGGTCCTAGAGGCAATCTTCCCAGTCTCTTCTATCCACTATATTCAACTATCACTCAGATCCATAGCTTACACAAAGATTTAAAGTTGTTTCCTGATTCGAGCTGAGAATACGGCTCAGTAACTAGGAGCACTGCCTGCTCTTGCAGATGATCTGATTTCAAGTTCTAGCACCATGTGGTGGTGTACAACTCTAACTCCAGTCCCTGGGAACCCGATGCCCTCTTCTGGCCTCGTCAGGTACTAGACATACACGATGCACAAGCGTATGCATAGGCACAACACACATAAACTAAAAACAAAAAGTAATAAAATCAAATGACCATAGTTTGGGATAAACCATGTGAAGTGTTGCGAAGGACCTGGAACTGGCTCCCACTTCTCAGCTCTGTGTATTTCTGTAGCAGGCGGTAGCATGCCCCATCAATACAATGATGATGAGGATCTCTCCTCTCTACCCCACAAGTTGTGAGAGTCAAATGAGACAATGAACATCAAAGCTGCCAAAGCTGTTAAATGTGGTCCCCTTGCAGGGCAGTGTCAGGCAGCACCTGAAACTCCAGGGCACGAATAACCATCAATAGCCCACGACAGTCAAATGGAGAGAAAACTGCAATTACATTGGCAAAGTATAAGCCAAAACTATATTAGGAACTAGCCAGTCTGTAAACAACACCCAACACAAAACCACCACTGTTTAATCAATAAAAACTGTTCAGTAGAGTCTGTGGAACACACTCCCAAGAGATCCCCTCTAACTCATATTCAGTAATTACACTTCCCTTATTTGGTATGTTCCCAGAACTCTCTGAAATGTATTATTCTATCTTCAGACATCTAATCAAACTTGAAAAAGAAAAAGAAAAAAAAGTCCCTCAATGTTCAAAACATACAATCTCTGTGGTTACAACATCAAAAAGTTCAGTCGAACTACTTAGTCTTCAGTTTCCCTGACTCAAGTTTTTTTGGAGTTTTTATAATTAATTATATTCCATTATTACTGATCATCAATTAGCTCAAAATGTTGCTGAGTTGGTGACTATGCTGAAGAAGGCAGAATTTAATGATAATTTGAGACCAGTAGGACACTAAATTTCTCTCTTGTTAATAATTAAAGTAGATAACTTATGTTTTTATTTATAGCTTCCAGAAATATCTGGCTCATTCCTGAGCATTGCCCTGTCAGCTAATCATCAGCTAGTCAGGATCTGACTTAGGCCACTGTGTTTTATTTCCCACACTTCCACTGGAGCTATAAATGTAGCCCAACCAAAAGGGAAAACAACTGAGGTCATCGCTGTGTGAGTTACAGAACCCCCCTTCTAGACAAATGCTTGCACACCACAGACGGACAAAGGATAAACAGGGATAACCTTTCTGCTTACCTGTTTCAATTTCCCAGATGTAGGCAGAGTCATCTGCACACCCAACAATTAGGAAGTTCTCAACTGGGTGCCATCTGATTGTCCTCACAGGGAAAAGGTGCTTCCGGGCTCGCAGGAGGCACCGTCTCCCTTCCAGGTGAAGGAGAGCCACGGAGTGGTCCCCGCACACACAGCAGAGTATCTGGCCGTTGCTTAGCTGTAGGAACACAACAGGCTTACATAAGTGAAAAGTCCCATGTAGCTTGCCCAAGGGAGTTAAATCTCCCCACACTGTTCTGTCCTGTTTACAAGCTTTTTATGGAGAGTGTGTTTCTGCATGGCACAGAACTTCTTCATGGGGCACTCACAGATCAGCTGTAGAGACTGAGCAGAGTGGTGTACACTCACCAACCTGCCAGGAAGGTCAGGAGGGAGAGTGAAAGAGAAAGGAGCAGCCAGATCCTCTTGCAAGACAGTGAAGTGTTCCTACCACTCAGCAAATGCAGGCAGCAGTGCTGATGTCGGAAACTGCGCAGAACACAATAAACCCCAGAACCCATTTGTCACCACAAAAAGAAGCTATTTGTGGACACAAACTTAGACCCAAGGGTATTGAGAGCCGAGACTTCCCACTTAAAGCCTCAAAATGTGATTTGGTGCGGTTCCCAGAGCTCCACAGATTCTAATCCAAACAGGAAACTCGGTGTAGACATAATCTAAAAGAGGCCAGCATTAGATGATTCCCGCTGAAGGTGCTCCCTCAAGAACACAAGGACATGAGGAGGTTCACAGGACAGCAGTCCTGAAGACATTTGTCAAAGTCGTCGGTGGTCACCCTCCCCACCCAACCTGGGCAACCAACTGATAAAATGAAAAAAAAAAAAAAATTAAACAGTCACTAAATGATCTGGGGACACAGTAGTCAAAGACATGTGCCCAGATGTACACAGCCCAAAACTCAGTCCTCAGTACCACACGGGGGCTGCTGAGCCGTCCAGAGCCACAGCTCAGGCACTGATGGCTCATCGCTCCGTGGGGCATCAGACAGCAAGTTTTCTTTCTCAATTCCAAGGAGCCTAAAAAAATCCTAAAGAGGGAAAACACACACACACACGAAATGACAGCTGTGATACATATGGAACCTAGACTTCAGGATGAGTCAGATGTAAAATATCTCCAGACATCCTACCTTGTAGAGGACAGGTATACTCCAAAGCTTCTAGAATGTACAGCTCCATGAGATCGAGAAAACACACACATGCACAAACACACACACACACACACACACACACACACACACAGACATGCAAACAGAGGCACATACATACATACACAGGCGCACACCCCACATACACCCAAGCACACACACACACACACCACACCATATACACAAACCCAGTACACACGCATGCAGACACACCACATATACACAGATACACACACAAAATCACAAGAATACAAATCATATGGCCGTGAGTGAGCACACATATGACCCATGCCAGGTCAATCCAACACTGCTTTCTAAACCCTTGAAAGCTAGAATATGAAATAGCTCACAGGAAAAGAGAAGGAGGAGAGTTGCAGAATAATGTGCTCTTGTGGGTGGGAACGATGTTTCTGAATTCATGGCCTAAGCTCTGTGGAGCCCCCCCCGCCCCCCCCGTGCTGATGGCCACTGCACTCTCTCCAGAAAGCCCTGCTTTACCTGACTTGTTCTGAATGGCTTCTGACACTAACAGCTGCTTCACCTGCAAGCAGGGCAGGAGGAAAAGAGAGCGAGAGTGAGGCAGAGCTGCAGTTCTGTTCTGGGGCAGAAAAGAGAAAAGAATTGAAAGAGGAGCTGGAGACAGACCCAGGATTAATATGCCTTCCACAGCATCCCAAATGCTCGCATGGAAGTTTCTGGAACAGCGGTTCACAGTTTACTTTAATCCTTTGTGGTCAAGAACTATATTTCTTCATGTCTTCCCACCAAAACACAGTGTCAATTTCTCCAACTTTACACTATATGAACATAATTTTATAAGCCAATCTAACTTACCAAACACCTTGCCACATACTTTCCCCCCCAAAATTTAGTTCACATTTTAACTAAGACCTCAGCTTTTTGCGAACTGGATTTAACCTGACATCTCATAAGACAGGAACTATCACTATGTCTTTTCTCCAACAAGGTAGACTGTAGACTAGGTGTTCATAAATTCAATATTTATCAAATGCTCACTCAGTATTGATTAAGGAAATAAAAGCTACATTTTAATTTGTATATTCCCACCATCTTTGACTTGTTTTTGCATAATCTTTGGATTTATTTTAAAATTCCGTACTAAAAATTAACACAGAACTAGGGAGGAAAAAAAAATGTGTGCAATGAGGATGATTTTAATAAAGCTTTCAGTGATCCAATGTTTTCTTTAGAAGCATTGTTTGTGTAGTGTGCTAGAATGAAATTAAAATTGATACTGAAAAGTTAAAAGCAAGCTTGGCAGAAGCAGCTAACTAACCGCGGGCAGACGGAAGGTGAACGTTTCTCGTTTTGTTTTGTTTGATTGCTTATGGGAATGTAGGTTTTTGCTGCTATTCGCTTTTTACTTTGTGTGTTGTGTTTGACTCTTTAGGTTCACTTACTTTCAAGTTCTCTGGTGACATCAAAAGTCTTGTTACTGGACCAGCTTCCAAAAAGAATGTGTGCAGAATTTCTTCAGTAAAAATGTCCCACAGAATCACGCAGGAGCCTCGGTCCCCAGACACCATCCAACTTTGGTCCAATTTTGAAGCAAGACTGTGAGGGTAAAGTAATGAAGTCACGCTCTGCTGATGACCTCTGAGAAGGGTATGACAGGGGGAATCTGGAAAGTGGTCAGACACCAAACAGCACAAAATTATTTTTCAGGTAATTCTAAGTTCTCACATTTTTAACATTTGCTCACAGTTGGCTAAGAAAATTCTCGAGCAGCCTTCACGGGCCCTCTCAAGAAGCAAACCGCCTCATCAGAAGCTAGACCAAGCTTTGAATGAGACAGAGAGCTTGGTGGTTCAAGTCTCCTGTTTGCAGATGGCTGTCAACATTCTATAACATGGGAGTAGCAGTCACATACTCCCTCCTCTCATGAGCAGCCAAGTTAAATTGAACAGGAAAGAAAAGCAAATGTCACAGGATGTTTTGCTACAAAAAAAAAAAAAAAAATGTTTGAAGTTATCAAGTTCTATCTCTTTTTCGCTGTTTACAGATAATGTATCTCTGGCTTGAATAGGTCATCCAACTCCTTGGGTCAAAGGCTTGGCACAATGTTTAAACTCTGCTGCTCATGGAAGCTTCCCCTTTACCTGTGGATCAGTCACTTCCTACATATGCCACCACAGATGTGGATGCATTGATCCCTTCTTCTGACTCATGGATTCTCCCTCCCTCTCTCAGACACAGGTGATAACAACTGCCCTTACTTAGGACAGACTGTTGGTTGAAAAGAATATATTCTCAGCCTGGCATCTGGGAAGCATGTGGGCACCTGGGCACCTGGCCTGTCAAACTTGATCTGGACTGGGACTGAGGCCCACTGGTAAACTGATCCCCTTGCCACTAGCCCCAGATGCTCTCTTCATTGCTATCCACGTTATTCTCCAACTTGCAGAAGAGCATTTGCCAGTCTCTTTATTCAGACTGAAATGGAATCTCAAAGATGTGCCTTTTTGTTTTGTTTTGTGTTCTGGCCTTAGCAAGCTGTAAAGAATGCCAGTTCAGAAGCAATCAGACAAGTACAGGTTTCTGTTTATTTTCTCGATATTAGGTTAAATCGGCCTAGATTAAAATGTCTACCGTCACCGTTGTCTCTGTCTTTTAATGGCAGCTATTAACCTGCTTATCATCTCTTCTGGCTTCCTTGCCACTTACTCCTGTGTTGTCAAGCACAGAATCATAGGTCGCCCACACTCAGTGAGTAGCCGAAGTGTGGAGAAAGTAAGAACGAGGACTAGAAAATGGTGTATTTGAAAGGTGATGTAAAAACAAAACCAAATAAAGCATAAAACTTAGAATGTGCAAGGCCCTAGGTTTGATCCCCAGCACTGCAGGGAAAGAAAACAGAAATTCCTGTAGGGGGTTTCACAGTAGCTTATCTAAAGTGTATGATGCCTCTCAAAACAAAACAAAAAACAAAAACAAAACCCCACAGGCATACGATTTTTGCTATATATCCTAAAATCTCCATTCCTCCCCCCATTTCCCCCTCCTTATATGACAACTCATTGTATAATGACACTTGTTTATCAGGTGTTGTCTCGATGTAGAGAGATGAGTAAGAACCCAGACTTAATTAACAAGAAAATATAAACAAACACAGGAAGAAACTATCTTATTCCTTACTGGGAAAGACTTAAATGTTTAAAACTGTAAAAGATGGTCAATATTTGGGAGAACACTTATAATTTCACAGGTCATTATTAGATACTCATGTATATACTGAGATAATGCCTTTATGGAACCATTTAAATAGCTTAATTTCCAAAATCAAAATCACAAAGTAATATTGATGTAGCCACTCAAGGATAGTCGATTCTGAATCTTCCAGAGTAACTAAAGTCTGAAAAAACTGAACAGCAGTTATCAGAAAGGTTTTCAACTCAAATTTTAATTGGTATTTGTCATTTAAGATGAGCTCATGAAGAATGACCACCAGAAATATTTTACTGATATCTATTTAATATTAACTCGGCAAAGCATCTATTTTAGTAGCATAATTAAAATATTGTACACAGTGTGCTGGTGTGTGTGTGTGTGTGTGTGTGTGTGTGTGTGTGTGTGTGCGCTCACACATGCACACATACACATGCAGGTATGAACACACATAATTTCAAGAAGAATAGTGAAACTATTATTCACAGTGACCTTTGGTGAAAGCTAAGTGGAAAATAGAGAGAGGAAAAAAGCTTCTGGTGGGACAGGGCAGCTCTCTGCTTGAGTCTTCACAAAACCCATGTAAATATTCAACACAGATTTATTTGCAAGTGTCAGCAAAGGTCTGAGGCTTCTGTGTCATTTTTTTTTTTTGTATGACTTGTGGAAATTTAGATAAATTAGATAAGTAGATAGAAAAAAAAAATCAGTCACCTTTCAATAAAGAGCCCCCTTCTAGAAGTCCTGCCTTGGCAGCATTCAGAGCTTTGGTGATGAAAATGGTTCCGTCCTCACAGCCGCAGATGAGTTTATCAAGATTTGGAATGTACTCGGATGAGGTGATGGTTGCTGCCATTCCCACCTCATCCCTGGACCCAGAGAAATGGTCTGTGATGCTCTGTGACACCGTTTGATGCTTATCGAAGTTATCCTGAAGAGTCCAGGTGGTGGTTATAGGTATTTCTGAAAGGAACACATGCACAGGGAAACATCTATTTGTTTACTCTCAGTAGATATGCAAACTATGGCAAAGATATCATCTCTTCTTCAGAAGTGTGAACCTGGTGAATGGGTTCAGTCACATTCAGAACAGTGATCTAGATCCCTTGGGATGCTCAGCCAAAGGTCACCTGAATTATGTTCTATATCTGTTTTTATCTTTACACCCCTGGTTGTTTGACAGAATGTCTGACAGCAGAACCTTAAAGAAGGAAGGGTTTATTTTGGCTCTGAGTTCAAGAGCACAGCTGTGGCTGCGGGAGCTCCTGGCAGCACCCACACCTGGCAGCATTCACATTGCATCGGCTCTTAGGCCACAAAGAAAGAGATGCTCACACTTAGGCAGCAAAGCTGATGCTCAGTGTCCTCTCTCTCTCTTTTTACTTTAGTCTAGAAATCAGCCCTTGGACTTGAGCTGCCTACATCTGAGGTCCTTCTTCCCACTTCAGCTACCCTGGTCTATAAACTCTCCACAGACACACCCAGAGGCTTTTGTCTCCTCAGTGATCCTCAGCCCTGTCACGTTGTCAGTCTTGAGTCATCACAGCATCTAACGTACAATGGTCTGTCACAAGTTGGTTTTCAGAAAATCATATTAAAAATTAAACTGTTGGGGCTAGAGAGATGGATCGTCAGTTAAGAGCATGTATTGCTCTTCTAAAGGACAGAGGTTCAGTCCACAGCAGCCACACTGACTAGCTCACACCCTCCTCTAACCCCAGCTCCAAAGAGGACCACACAGCATCGGCTTCTGTGGGAACTTGCACTAATGTACACATATTCATAACAAATACATACACATGATTAAAAACACATAAAAATACAAGAATGCAAAGTGGCAAGCTAGGCATAGTGAAGAACATCTTTAATACCAATACTTGGGAGGCAGAAGCAGGCAGATCTCTATGAGTATGAGTTCAAGGGCTATCTTGGTCTACCTAATGAGACACCATATTAGAAAATGATGGGGTTGTGGGGAACAAAACTGTCTTACCTCTAGGGGAACCATCAAACTTAGATATGGGGACATCTGGAATATGCCACAAAGTAATTCTTCCTGAGACTTCTCCAGAGAAAAGTACCTTGTAAAAGGGCTCCTTCCGTTCATTCATGTAGCCCATGACGAAATGCAGGCTCTGAAGAATAAAACATGAACTTGGCACAGGTAAAATGGTAACTAATGTTCTGACCACAGGGAAGAGAGAAGTAAGACTTCACAACTGAATTAAACTGTTTCAAACAACTTGCCACTGTTCCAAATTTTTTAAGTTTAATGAAATGAAATAATTTGTGATTTAAGGTAGAAGAAAACAATAGTCTCCATTAAAAATTTAAAATGGTGGCACGTGCCTTTAATCCCAGCTCTCTCGAGGTAGAGGCTGGTGGATCTCTGTGAGTTCATGGCCAGCTTGGTCTACAAAGTGAGTCTAGGACAGCCAGGGTTCTGTTACACAGGAAAACTCTGTCTTGAATAAAACCACCACCACCACCACCATCAAAAACAAAACAAGACAAAAACAAAAACCTAAAGCAAAACAAAACAAAAAATCTTTGGGGCTGGAGAGATGGCTCAACACTTCAGAATATTGGCTGCTCTTTCAGAGGACCAAGGTTCAATTCCCATCACCCACATGGCAGCTTACAACTGTCTGTAGATTCAGTTCCAGGTGATCCGACAACCTCACACAGATACATGTACAGGCAAAAGACCAACCAAGCGTTATAAAGTAAAAATAAGTAAACTATTAAAAATTAGAAATGAGATCACTGGCTAAACTTCAGAGATTTGACACAAATACCTAACCTTGGTGTTGTGTGTATGCTGCACACATCTCTTCATGAAAGCATTACCAATGAGGGGTAGGCACATATTTAGCTTTTAAAAAAATCTCATCAATTAAAAAAAAAAAACCTACCTCAATGTTATGAGTTTGTGCTATCATGATCTTCAACTTATATATGAAGAAAGCAAAAGAAAGGGCTTGAGTGACCCATGGTAATCGAGACAGTAATGGGCCTTAAATCTAAGAATTCTGAATCAAAATCCCATGTGTTCATAATGATACTTCTCACCAAAGGTGCCTAGACTTTCTCACTTGCTTCAGTTCTGTTAGTCAGTTAAAATAACATTCATGCAGTCCTTGGCATTCTTTTCCAGAACTATTGACCAACTGTTGACTCTAAGAACTCAGAATCAACCCCATAATAAGATTAAACCATCCAAATTTGAAACCTTGCTTGGACTTAATCTCTCCAAATGTCAGTTTCAAAATGGCCTCCCGGTGGCAGCCGAAGTCATGAGGTACCTTATATAATTTGTAAACGATAATGTTGAAATATATGTTAGCTATCACCACCATCTTCATCCTTAGTTTGTATACACATGCCCACCTTGGATTTGAAGCCTTCTTCCATGTCAGCTGAGACTTGCAGAGTGTCAGGGCCCTACTCTCGGAGACGCACAAACCCACTAGCAGATAGGCTCACAGTGGGAACCAATGGAAACGCTCAATGATGCTTAAACCGCAGATGTAAATTCATGGTAGGGCTCCAAACACTGACTCTAGTCAATGCTGTGTGGTGCCAGAATGCCTTTTTCTAGGCTTACTATGATCAAATTCCTAAAATTAGATTATTCTATTTATAGTTCACTAGCTTCTGAATACTTCTTACACTTAAAATATTTGGCAAGGGGCAGAGAAATATGGATAACTAAAGAAGAATCATTAGAAAATGAATCTTTTTGTGTTCATACTTGGAGAGAGAAGGCTAGATTGCTTTCCATTTTTAAAAAACTTATTGAATTTAATGTGTATAAATGTTTACGTGCGTGTGTGTGTGTGTGTGTGTGTGTGTGTGTGTGTGTGTGTAGAGCCTATGAACACCAGAAGAAAACATCAAGTCCTCTAGAACTGGAGCTACAAATGGTTATGAGCCACCATGTGGGTGCAGGGAATTGACCCCAGGTCCTCTAGAAAGCGACCTGTGTTCTTAACTGCTGAGCTATCTTTCCAGCCCCAACTTCCCAATTTTGAAACCATGGCTTTATATAGCTCTGATATTTGTTTGTTGGGGTAGAAATTCCTGAGTGATGCTTGGTTTCTGTGGAAAACTCTTGGTAAAACTTCACCGTGACACCAAAAGGGAGCAAACAGCAGGCTCTTCGGAATAATAAAACATGCCTTTCTAAGTGAGCCACAACACTTCTTTGTGATAAGGCTTCGTTACTGCCCGTGAAGGATTTTAGAAATGTCCCCTGATGCAGGCTGTAATTCTATCAGCACCTGGGGTTCTTAGTTTTGGCTGAGAGGATTTAACCACGTTTTTGCAGGAAAACATTAAAGGGGCATCATGGCTGTGGGCTTCCGAGAGCTCTGCCGCCTAATTAAGCAAAGCATCATTCTGTACATAGAAGCATCATTTTATGTTTGGTGTGTCACTGAGGCAAAGCTCCTCCTCTTTATAAAGTACCTTTTTGGGTGATTAACTGATGACCGATTCTATGGGTTAAAAATCATTTTGAAGAACATCCCTGGGACAAAACAGTTACTTAGATTTCAGATGTGGTTAACTGTCAAAGGTATAGTTAAGCCAAGTAGGAAGCTCACAATTATATTCTCAACCATCTTCCAGAAACCTTAATTACACTTGTTTGAAGAAGGATAGTTCTCATAAGAATAGCTAAGTACACATGAAAATGATCTGGATGTATAGTCAAGTTTTTTTTTTAATATAAAAATCATTTCATAAAGTTTTAGAATTGGAATAGGTATATCAAAATGTTGAGAATGTGCCATGGAACAGACCAAAGCAAAAACATGGGACATATGTGTGCACATGCATGAGTGAATCCATACAATAAAATGCCAATAATTGGTACATCTAGGTAAAGGAAATGGAAGCGTTAACCATACTATTCAGACAATTTTTCAACAATTGAAACATTCCCTGCTACAGTAGGCAAGCAGTCAATATTTGTGGTGGTGAAATCAGAATTTTAATATCTTCTTTATTTTCTTCCACACTCGTAATTTCCCTACAGTGAATAGGCATTGTTGTATCAACTAACAGTTCTTAAGGGTGACATTTTTCTCCTCGGGAGCCATTAACACTCGAAGTTGATTTTCTCATTAACAACTTGATCTGATGCCTTGATTTCATTTTTGCCAGGCTGGGTGTATTACAAAGCAAGAAGCCAGTTTGAGGCTGCTTTTCTTGTCTTACCTTATTTTCCTCCACAGAAGTGGAGCATAGTAAGTGAGGGTAGATGGTCTCCTTAAGAACTCCTCCATCGGGGGGGCATATGCATTTGGAAAGCCCACTGCGTGAGGAGAAACAGAAGCAAAATTTAGAAATTTAACGTCCTTTATTTGCTCTCTCCCGGCTTCTACTTTCAAAAGCCGGATGGCACCATTCGAATTTCTAAACTCTAGTTAGAAATTGTTGGGCTAATAATTACGAGTGACTTTTGAAAGCCCCGCACCAGCTGTACAAGTTCTACATGGCTAATCTCATGCCTTCAGCCCCCGCTGTGCTGTACAAAGGCAGAGCGCCTTGCAAGCCCAGAGTAAATCTTCCAGTGCCAAAGTTGTTTTGTTCTGGGTTTTGATCAGGGACTCCATGCAGAGGCTTTTCCATAATAAACCTCCCCAAGTTCATTTTCTACCTGAATGTTCTAGACGCTGCGCCCATCTGAGCCCACCTGTTCAGCAGCTGATAGATAAAACTGTGACCATCTTCTGTCCAAACAAGGATCCTGTGAGCAGCAAGCACCTCTCCGCCGGCAAAGAACTGCCCGTCTCTACTAACTTCAGTCCACAGAAGGGAAAAGTCACAATAGTCATAAACCTGCAAGACAGTGCGGATGCACATTAATAAAGGCTGAAAAGGAAGCCTGTCCGTAGGAACAGCAGTGAAGTGTGCTTTTCAAGACTATGGAGACGATGGTATTAATGCTACAGCCTGTTGAGTATTAAAAAGAAACATACTGTACACACGAATGAAGGCACTATTTTGTAATTTCCTAATATTTCACTAAGACTTACTCTTTCACATTTATCCTAAGATAGGCTGCAGTGGATAAAGGTCTCTGGCTAGCTCATTCCACAATGTATCTGTTAAGCATGGAAGCCCAAATTCTGCATTTTAAAATAGTCTTATTCTTTGCCCATGAGTAGTCCCAGCAAAGCACTTAGAAATTCCATATAAATAAGATGTTTGTGTAGCAGAAATTCATAGCCGGCTTGCGCACTTTAACCTTTGGTAACAACATATAGGTGTGACCCGAGTCAGATAGACCTCTGATAGCAGTTATGGGAAACGTTAAAGAAAATAAAGATGCCATTGGAGCATAACTTCGCTTTATTTCACTCTCAGAGGAATCACTGAATATATTCACAAGAAAAGAAGGAATGTTCCCTAAAAACATGGTAGAGATATAAGATTTAAAAAATCCAGAAATATGATCCACCCATATAGGTGATAACTATTAGCTTTCTAAAAGTAAAATGCAGACATTGTTTTTGAAAATAATCTGGAGAGTCATTTCTTTTTTTTTAATAATCCGGTTTGTTTTATTTTATGTGTCTAAAATAAAACATGTATGCATCATGGTGCATGAGTTCCTGAAGAGACCAGAAGAGAACATCAGATCTCTTGGAAAGGGATTTATGAGCTGTCGTGTAGGCGGTGCCGGGAACAGAACCCGGTCCTCTACAAGAACAGCCAGTGCTCTTCACCCCTGAGCCATTTCTCCAGCCCTCAGAAATTATTTTCATCATGATTATGATTTGTGATCAATAAAAGTAGAATTTAATGGTCCACATACAATATCTTAGGGAGCAAAGCAGTGTTACACAAAATAATAACAGGCATAAAACATAACAGACATAAAAGGGTAATCATTTCATGTCTTCATATTACTACTTGAAGGAGTTTTTTTCCAATATTTAAATTGTGTTACCATTGTTTGACTCAACAACAACAACAACAACAAAAACATTGCATTTGTACACCACTGGCACTTTTCATACCTTCCAACATTTAGAAAATACCACCAACAGGAGTCTCTCTGTGTATGTACAAAATCGTATCGTCTGGCAGTTCAAAGAATCAAGAAATTTCGATTCTTTCTCATAGACATCTTGCTTTTCCTTCCAAAAGAAAACAAAAATTGAATACAAATTCAAGGAAATGTACACATAAACAGAAGACATGTTCCTTCTCAAATGTTTGACACAGGTCCTTCCTGTATTATACATGGGAAGTATCCAAGGTTCCTTTTTAGTGTTTTGATCTAAATATTACTTTGTAAAAAAAAAAAAGTGAGCAGAAAATTGCCTAAGATTCAAGGACTTATTATTGATAGTCAACCAAAAACCATTCTACCAGGAACCATGATGAGCATTGAAAACATAAAGTTACTGGCTTTCAGACAGAGCAGAAAGGGGAGGGGCATAAAACGGTAAAAATCAAAAACAACAATGACAAACCAACCCTGAAGCGGCTTAAGGACTACAACCAAAAGGAAACAGGACAGGAGGTGCTTTGAAAAGAGACAAGCATAGCCAACACAGCACAACAAAACCTTCTGTAAACTTCTGATCGTGCTAGGTGGGGAGGGTGTTTCTAAAGAGCGACTAGCAACATGATATCTAGGATCCTAGATTTCGATTGGAGAAATTTCCCCAGACTGTGTAGAGCAGCCTAACACACATACTGTGTTTCCCCCTTTGTCTGTGACTTTGACTCTAATGGATGCTGGGAAGCAGGTGGGTATGCCGGCCTCCCAGGACAGTGAGCCTTCTACACATTTGTCTGTTACAGCTTCTGTACCATACAAAAGTCCTAGGGAAAGGAATAGAACAGTGTCTACCACCATTTTTTAAAATTAAAATTACAATCTTTTCCTTTCCCTACTCCTCCCTGTGTGTATATAAATAAATCTATTTACATCATGCATGGAGTCATAGTTGGAAGGATGCAATTCAACTGCCTGGAAACATATCATTTAAACCTTCAACTGTGAACATGCATCATCCTCATGTTTCGAAATTTTCAATAAATAGTCATTGAAATAATGGGGAAAAAAAGTGGTTTCCAAGCCCACCTGAATGCTGTTGATGGATGAGGAGAGGTCCCATACTTTGAGCTCGCCGGTTACAGATACAACCAAGAGAGAATCTTCTATGAAAAGAAGGAAGGTCACATATGAGCTGTCAGCCGGTGGACCTGGCTGTTGTCACTGTTACCTCACAGTCACGCAAGAATTGCACAGGGCTGGGGCAGCAGGAAATAGTTAGCTTTGATTTTTGTTAGATTAAGAGAATGATTTCATTTCTTGTTCTAACCCCGTGTTTGTGCAGAGTACAGCTAAAAGAAGAGCTGTGGCACCTGTTAGACTTTACTCAGATGGAAATGTAGAACCAATTTCCACTTTACCCACTATGGAAACTAAATTTCAGTGGTATGTCCAGAAAAAGTGTCCTGCTGCCACACACACGCACTCACACACACACACACACACACACACACACACACACACACACACACACATACAGAGAGAGATACAGAGAAAAAAAAGGAAAGAGAATGGAAAGGGCAAGGAGCTGGGGAGAAGGAGAGGAAAGAGGGAAAGGAAGAGAAGGGAAGGGAAGGGGAGGGGAGGGGAAAAGGGGAGGGAAGAGGAGGAGAGGAGAGGAGAGGGGAGAGGAGAGGAGAGGAGAGGAAAAGAAAAGCAGGTCAAAAACACTCCAACTGTCTGTTTCTCTCAGCAAGCAGAACTGAGAACTGGGTCACAGAAACACATTCTCTCACTTGTCTTCGCCTCCTGCTGGCTTCCTAATAACTTGACCCACTGGTCTGGTCGAGGGGATATGGGTTTCTCCTAACATGGCCTCCAGAGCTGTCTCCAGGACACGGTGAATGCCAACAGTGTTCACACACTGGCTTGACAATACCAGGAGCATTTCACTAGCTGCTGCCCAGTCTTAGCATTCTGAGACACCCAGGGTTACCTTGAATTCTCACAGAGTGAACAATGCACATGCATTTCATCCAATCCGGGGACCGCAAAGAGGAAAAGGTGTGTAGCACAGCCAGGGTTCCAGCATCCAGGACGAGAACGTCTTGATATTCCCCACAGCACAGCAGCCAGCCCTCACCAATCATCCGGAAGGAGCAGTGGTAATACTATGGGATGGAATTCCAGGTACAGCAGGTCAGAGATGGACAGCGTTGACACCATTCTAGCTGTGTAACCTCTCAATGGAATTCCAGTCAGCCTCTACTCAATAAGCCCCCTGAACTAGGTCACACCTCAAAGCCCCTTTATCAACCCCACATTCTTGCCATGCTGATTTTTCAGCTTAGCTTCAAACCCCTAACCTACCACCCAGGAGAAAGTAGAGATCATTTCAAAAGAAATAGTATAAGTCACAGGACAGCGACCGGTGTATTATTTCTGCAGTGATATTCAGAGCCAAATAATTACATGGGTCCTCTACCCCAGTAGTTTTGCAAAAGACCTGATAAGAAATGAAAGCATTTCAAGAAGATTGGAGAGATATTCTTGTACCAAATAAATCTTGGAAGTATTTTCTATTAATGACCAGGCTATATATACATTCTGCCTCCCCTGAGTTCTGTAACTGGGTCGTGGTCCAGGAGAAGAGGAGAAAGCGTGAGTGTTACACTATTTGAGGCAGTGGCAGCACAAACAATGGAAAAAACAAAAAGACATATGGGTGGTGAGACTGTTTGTAATCCGTCCATCAAAGTGCAGAACCTACTTTTAAGAATCAGAAAGTATGGCTGAGATAGAGCTCAGCTGAGGCCCTGGCTTCAACCTCCACCACCAGGGCAAATAAAAAGGCCCCGAATTGAAAAGTGATCATGGAAATTATAACTAGATCTCTTTTTCTTTCATACCCACACACACAAATTTAGAAATCAAGAAATCCAACCAGAAGAGCTGGTTAAGATTTTAAAATGTGTCACAAGCTTTAATGGGTTTTTTGTTTGTTTGTTTGTTTCTGTTTTTTAAGATTTTATATTTACAAGCCAGGCACGGTGGTACACGCCTGTAAGCCCAACACTCGGGGAGCCAGAAGCAGGCGGATCTCTATGAGTTCGAAGACAGCCTGGTCTATAAACTGAGTCTAAGATGGCCAAGGCTACACAGAGAAACCCTGGCTCAAACAACAACAACTACAAAAGATTTTATGTTTACAATTTTTATTATGGATATGTGTGCATCAGTGTATGGAAGGGGTATGTTCATGAGTGTGCCTCCAGAGCTTGAAGAGAGACTAGCACCCCCTGGTGCTGTTGTTAGAGGCAGGAACCAAATTCAAGTCCTTTGGAAGAGTAGTAAATGCCCTCAACTCCTAAGCCATTTCTCCTGACCTAGAAAAGGCTCCGTGTTTTGTAAAACAGCACATCATTAAAGCTGAATTTTCCCATGTACTAGTGGATGTTTTGTGTCACTTAGGAAATGTGAAACACCATTAAAGTCATTTTTAAAGATAAGATACAGAAATGAAATAACCAGGAACAAATGCTATGGAACAATATCTTCGGACAGAGATGATTACTGGCAATGTTTTCCCATCATAAAGCAAAAGAAAAAGAATATTCGAGGAAAGAGTATTCTCCAAAGGTATTTAAAGTGCTCAGACAGAAAATGCCATGTACAAGTTACTGTCCCATCACCTTTAGTGTTCTAGACAGAGCATACTTACGCAGATCTCAGTGTGCCTGTAAGGAAGTGTGGCCTTCTCCACACACTGCCCGCTGCTCACATTCCACACACACATCTCCCTGCGACAGAGAACTCTGCGTTATTCTATGCCATTTCCACACAATTGGCTGGAGTAATTCTTGTGCCTCCAAGTTTTTCTTGCACTTAGGTGCAACCTGATCGTTCATGCGGCTTTTTGTTGCAGAATACTGGGCAAGAAAATGCTGTGGTCATTAGCAGGGTTGACACACTGTGGCTGTATCATTTTCTTTGGGTAATGACACCCTGCCTACAGCCTGCAAGCTTTGCTTTAGGGCCACCCTGGCTACTGTGGGAATTCAGCCATTGTGGCCTTCGAGAGGGACAGTACCATGGCCTCTTCAAGTCTCCATGGAAATAGCATCATTCAAAAACAGTTTATTTCACTGAATTTAAACTACATATTCTGGGAAGGACAACATATTGTATCTCTGTATGCAGGATCTCTCTGCATACAGAGATCTCCCTTCCCCTTCCCTCTTCTCCACTCCTCTCATCTTTTTTCCTCTTCTCTCCTCACCCCTCCGCTCCTCTCCTTTCCTCTCCTCTCCTCTCCTCTCTCCTCCTCTCCTCTCCTCTCCTGTCCTCTGTTTTCTTCTCCCCTCTCTCATGAAAACAAACAGCACCACCAAGAGGCCACATTTAGTCTGTCATTGATCCAATTTTCTTTCTTTGATCTTCCCCCCTAATTTGAAAACCTGAAATAAACAAATCAACACTTAATATTTGGAAAACCTTATTATTTTTAAAAACTCTTATTTGTTTGAATGCATTTTATGGAGACATAGACACAGTCTGTACAATGAAGCTATGAAATGTGTCAGGGACGACAGTTTAAACCTAAATGATTTCTATTTAGAAGATCAAAGAAAGTCGAACCACCATTGCATAATATTCTCTGGTTTTGGAAATTTCAAAACACACAGACACACACACACACACACACACACAAATTATATAGAAGAAAAACAAGCTTTATGGGTGTTGTGGGAAATGATGTTGTTGAGGGAAAATTTTTAAATTACAGACTAATAATGTTAAATGTTGCATGCATTTCATGATTATCATGGGTTTGTTTTTCTAATCAAGCACTAGGAGTCAATATTCTAAACCAGTGATTCCGACACTGAGGTGATTTCTGTTCCCTACTATCAACCGCTTCCCGGGGACAATCTTGTTGCCACTAAGAACACACTACTGACATCTAGTGGGTGGAGTAGAGAGGTGCAGCAGCCGCCTTGCAACGCACAGGTCTCCACAACAAAGGAGGCTCATTCTAAAATGGCTCAAATATGAGGTTGGTGTGCCCTGGAATCAGAAGAAAATATTCATAGACCTTCCTTCTGTTTTTAACTAACTGCACACCAAAGAGCTTTCAAGGTAACCTGAAAAAGGCATGATTCTACTGAACAGGAAGGAAAACTTGTGTCTCCACAAACAACACCTATGTCTGTGCACTTGATGAAGGAGTGACAGGAAATATATATCAGAAATAAAACAAGTAGTCATACACTTAAAAGGGAAATCAAGCATATAGAAATCAAATGTAAAGAAACTGAATTCTAAGCACCCAAGAGGCAGAAAATAACACAGCAATGCAGTGTAGCCCTGCAGTTTCGGGCCCTTCCCCACACCAACAAACACCTGAGAGCATTTAAAAAGTGACCGCAGCAATCTTCACCCCATGGCTGTTATCAGACACTGCATCAGTGTTTTTAAAAAAACTTTCAGTAAGCTGATATGTGTTAAAGTAAGCTTATTTTAAAGCTGGTATGACTCACAATCAGTTTTTAAAGTTTTATTTTTATTTATGTGGGGGAGGAGTAATGATATGCTCATATGAGCGTGCTGTCCATCACAAAGGGGGTCAAAGGGGGATGGGGCAGGTATTGGGTCCTCTGGAGTTGGATTTACAGACAGTTGTGAACGTTCATGTGGGTGCTGGGATCTGAACTCGAGTCCCCCGGAAGAGCAGTTAAGTGTTCTTCACTGCTGAGCCATCTCTTCAGCCCCAGATCTGATTCTTGTTTCCTACTCTCTCTAAAAGTTATCTATGCCCAGTTTTCTCCTGATGTCTCTGTGCTTGGTAAGCTAAGGTTTCTCCCTCAGAGCTTGAGATTCCCAGACCCACCTGACGACAGATGTTTCCATCTGTGTGGTGTGTAGGAGTTCACGAGCCTTGGGATATACCTTCTTCCCTCATTAGTTCTCTGTCAATGAATGGTTTATCCACACAGTGAGATTTGCAACTTAACCTGCCTCGCACTCCCCCAGCTGATCCCAGGTGGGCAGGACAGACTTCAAACACAGCCTCTAAGATGTAGGAATAGATGGCTAGCCTAAGACTGTACTAGCAAAGCAAGTTATGGGATCCAAGGTCACCCCTGTGAACTCATACCTGTGGGATGAAGGCCCAGAAATCTGCACTGAGCCTTAGTGGGTGACTCTGAGATGCACACAGTCTTAAGGACCCTACTCCTGGCAGAATCTTTGTCCTGAGTTCTGACACTTAGCTACTTGTCATTCATTGGTGAGAACTTCACTTAACAGATGGAAATTCTCTCTGCCAATACCAGGGCTTTTTGCTTTAAAGTTTAATCAACCACGTTGCTCTAACTATGTATGTTTATATAATATAAAATTCCAATGCTTCCATATTAACCTCATTTGGTTAGCACATACCCAATAAGTCTTTCCCATCCATCTTCTTTTAAAAAAAAAAAAAATCTTTACATTACCAGCTTTTTACAACCATTTTCCTCAATCTCGTTTTTTGTTTGTTTGTTTTTGTTTTGTTTTGCTTTGCTTTCTATGTCTCGCAATCGCTTCAATGTAACTGTACAACTTGGTCCTATCGTATAATCGGGATTAATATTTTACCCACATTTAGTTCAACTATCTTATGTTGTGCTTTCATTTTGCATGTGCAGGGAACATCGGTCCACACTGGGCATTTTCCTCAGTCACTCTCCACTGAACTGTGCTGTTTTTGTGTTTTTGTGTACACACACATAGGTGAATACACATGGACCCACATATGTGCAAAAGTAACCTTTAATCTTCTGATTCAGGTGTCGTCTCTGAGGCTTACTGCCTCCCCCTGCTAATCTAGGCCTAGTCTTGGAAATTTCTAGCCTCCATACAACCTAACCTAGGCAAAGCTGTTTTCAGCCTCTGAGAATTACTGCTGAATAAACTCAATCTTTCGTGTTCCTACTGAGCTCTTGGCTGGCTGGTTCAATTCAGCTGTTCTGGCTCAAACTCCTCTCACAGCTGACATATTCAATCTGGCTTTTCTCTGCCCCTGAATTGCTCTGCTTGGCCTCAAACTAACTCCAGCAATCTTTTCTAATCTTCTACCTCCTCATTTTCTAGCACATTTGATATTCACCTGAGTCTAGCTTGCTCTCTCTTTGCAACCTGTATCTCTATTACTGTCCCTGTAAAACCGCCTCCTCTTTCTCATTGACCCTTACATAACTTCCCGTTCCTGTTCCTCTCTCTTCTCGTGGGAGTTGGGTGTATCCTATTCTGTCATGTCTTTCTCTGATTCATCACTATTTCTGCTACTCAATTAGACATCACTTTCAAACATGGCTGCCTCCTTCTACAAACTGACTTTACCTTCATTGTTTGGGATTAAAGGCGTGCACCACCATGCCTGGACCTAAGCTTTACTTTACCTGAACTTTGCTCTATTCCAGACTGGCCCTGAACTCAGATCTGCTTGCCTCTGTCTCCTAGATTAAAGGCATGTTTGTATTCTAGCAGGATCACACAGAACTACAAGTTCTTTGGATGTGATCTCTTGCCACAACAGCCATGCTCTGAATTAAAATTCCTCTCCACATATGTGTGTGTATACTCACCCTCCATGTATATCCACATATGTGGATGGACATGGAGAGTGGGTGGGCGACTGTGCGTAGGTTTTTGTATGGATGCTACTTTGTAATCCCTGTGGGAGAACACCAATGAAAACCACTTCCTGGGTTGAGGATGACCTTCAAAGTGATCCTCCTGTCTTAACCTATTGAGCGGTAGAGTTACAGGCCTTTGATACCACACCCGGCCTGAAATCCTTGGAGGCCAGAGGTCAGCATTGGGAGTTTGCCTAGATTGTGTTCTCATGTTTTCCTGTGAAGTCTGGAGGTGATGAAGTGGGCTACACCGGCTGGGCAGCAACCTCGGGGTCTCCTGTCACACTCCCCAGCTACGGTGGGGTGCAGGTTTTATCAGAGTCACTGGGATCTAAACGCAGTACCTCACATTTGAGTACAAGCACTTTGCCATGAGTCTAGTCTCCCTCCACTCACGCCCCACACCTTCTCAGCTACAAAGGAAAGTAATGGAGATGGAGCTAAATGTGGTCACTCACCCATTCTCAGCAGCACTCACGACATAGGGCTGTTTGGAGAAGTCTCTTGCTCTTGCTAAACACGTCACCGAAGCCGAGTGACCAAAAAGAAGTTCTTTAGCTGAAATCTGAAAATGTTGAAAATGAAGAACTCTAAACATCCAGGAATAACAACGATAACAGCGATCATAATGATAACACTTCTTAAATACTCTGGGAAAATTTCTATGCTGAGATTTTTTTTTTTATTTTATGTGCACAAGTTTCAGGAAAGCGGATACACAGCACATCAAAACGCACAGACAAGGAAGCCAGGAGATGAAGGGTTGTGCTGTTCTCAGATTTTTGTTTGTTTGGGTTCCATCTTCAAACTTAGATGAGTACCAGATGGTTCCTCAACATTTCAGCTTTGAATACACGTAAGTTAGTGCAGGTGCTTCCCAGGCAGAAACATTCCCTGTGACCCCTGCCTGTGGAGGCCAGGATTTCATTCGGGGGTGTTACTGAACACCTGTTACTCCAGCACGCCATAGCCTAAAGAAGGAGGATCATATGTTGAAGATCTGCCCCAACCCAGAAATGACATTCACTGGTATTTTCCCACATGAGTTGAAAAGTAGCATCCACACAAAAACCCACACACACTTGTAACAGTTTTGCTCAGGGTTATTAAAGACTGGAACACAACCAGGCTGCCTTTCAGTAGGGCAAAAGCTACAGGACTGTGGGCAAACAGTGAGATATCAGCTCACTGAAAAGAAATGAGCAGCTAAGCTGCACAGACAGGTAGAAACCTATGTATTGTTTAGGTGAAAGAAGCCACCCTGGAAAGCCCACTGCTGTATGACTCCAAGTCTGGGACATTCAAGACCAGACAGAAGTAGGGATGTAAAACATTGGTGCTCACCAAGGGTTTAGGAGAACAGGAACCTGTAGGAGAATTTTAATCCAGCAACATGGCTGCTCTGATCACATCCAAAGATCTTTTAGGTCTGTGTGATCTGGCTGGAATGCAGACACACCCTTTGTACACACCTTTAATCCCAAATTGTAAAGTTAGTTTATTTAATAAAAAAAAAAAAAGCAGCCATGTTTGAAAGTGATGTCTAATTGAGAGACAGACAAAGTGACAAATCAGAGAAAGATTTGACAGAATAGGGTATGCCCTGCTCCCATGAGATCAGAAAGGAAAGAAAGGTGACTTAAAAGAAAGCAGCACAGAGAAAGAGAGGAAGACAGCCATTCTTCCTGGACAGTTATACAGAGACAGGATGCAGAGAGAGAACAAGCTAGACACAGGTTAAGACAGATGAGCAGGAGAATGAGTAGGAGTCAGAAGATTAGAACTTATTTCGAAAGTTAGTATGAGGCCAAGCAGAGCAATTCAATTCAAAGTCCAGAGAAGCTAGTTTGAATCAGTCAGCCTGGATAGGAGTTTGAACTACAACAGCTGAGTCGAACCAGCCAGCCAGAGTTCAGAAGGAACTAGAAAGAGTGAGCCTATTCAGCAGTAAGCCTCGAAGAGGACAATTACATCAGGTGAATAAGAGTTATTTTTACACGTGGCACCATAAACCTGAGGTTATGAGTCTCATACATTTACAGGAGACTATAAGGCATAAGAGGCTCATCAATGAAATAATTCTGTATCACATGATAAACTGTGAATATGTCAGTTCACATAAGCCCATAGAATATCCACCTAGGGCCACTAAGAAGAACTATAACATGTAGCATGGGAGTCAGTAATCATGAGGTCTAAATTCATTGTTGTGCCAAACATACCACAACAACAGGGTGACATCATGTCACGGCTAGTGTCAGTTGTTAACTTGACACAAACCTAGAATGACCTGGGAAGACGGAACCTCAACTGAAGAATTACATAGATCAGATTGACCTATGTCTGAAAAGCATTCTTTTTTGGTTGATGATTAAGGTAGTAGGGCCCTCTGTGGGTGGTACTGTCCCTAGGTAGGTGGGTCTGGGGTATACGGGAAAGCAAATAGCAAACAAGGCAGTAACAGTGTTCCTCTATGGCCACTAACTGAGTTCCTGCCCTCAGTTCCTGTCCTGACTTTCCTCAGTAATGCACTGTTACCTGGAAGTATAAACCAAACAATCACTTTCTCTTCCAAGTTTTTATTTTTTTTTTATTTTTGGTTATTTTTTTTTATCACAGTAACGGAAGTCATACTAGAACACGTAATGATGGTGGGAGAGCTTGTGTGAGGGATGAGGAACCCTATGCTTCCCACTCATGTACTTCAGTAGGTGTGGCCTTGTCTTGATAGTAAATTCAACTTTGCCTGCCAATTTTGCCTTTAAAAATAAAGTTCTGAATTTTAGAACAGCTAATTTGACTCCTTCCCTCAAAAATAATAAAATGAACTTTTCCACACTAAAAAAAAAAAAAAAAAAAAAAAACCCAACCAAATTCTTATTTACAATGTCAGTGTGTGACTTGCATAACTAACATCTTGAAAGTGTAGCCTTAAGTTATTGTTTAAATGAAGGAGATCCCAACTGTTCTAATTTATCAACAAAGACTCAGGAGCCAGATGCTGGGGTGAAGACCTGCTAGCTCAGAGAGACAGAGAAAGTAACCAGCTAACCTTTGTTCTCATCTCAGGTCAGAATGGAAAAAACCCAAAAGTCTTACTAGCTTAGCTGACAGCCCAGGAGCAAAGGCAAAAAAAGAAAAAAAAAAAAAAAAAACACGGCCAACGGCTTGCTAGCACAAAGCCTATGTAAAAGCCAGAGCCTGAGCTAATCACCCTTTCTTCTTCTCCATACTGACTTATATACCTCTCAATTCAAAGTCCCTCCTACTCTTTAATCTCTGTCAGCTGGTTTCTAGCTCCGCTTCTTGACCTAGGGTTAACTTTATTAGATCCAGTATACAGAGAGTTCTTGGGTAAAAGGTGTGTGATAGGGCTCAAACACACCAAACAAGAAACAGGGCTTTACAGTTCACAATTTTGGGGATCACAATGGGATCAAATATCCTGCAACATTAAGTTCTTATTCTTTTACCATCTCATGTCTGAAATCCTATTGTATAAAAAAGAATTCTGAAAATTAAAACTATAGAGTAGAAAGCATGAGGAGGAGAGATGGCTCAGCAATTAAGAGTCATTGAGAAAGATCTGAATTGGGGTTCCAGCACCCACATGGGCTCAGACCCACTTGTAACTCAAGATTTAGGGGAATAATACATTCTCTAGTGGCCTCTATGGGAACCTGCTCTCTTATGTGCATACTTACAGAAACACACACACACACAATTTTAAAATAAAAAATCATTTTCTAAAGAAAATGCATAATGTCTTCTTAAATGAAGACTAATGAATCAAAAAAACATAATTTGAAAAATGTGTTATAGATAATAAAATAGCTATATTTCACATGAGTCAATAATCAATGTTTTTTTGGGGGGTCCAAACTTCATAAACACACACATGAGCTGGTTACCAAACATCTCTATCTAACATAATAGTTTCCTTTACTTATATCTCAATTAAATTGTGTGAAAAGATCTTTTGTCATACTAAAATTGTTGTGCTGAAAAAGTATTCTAGTTTATTAAGATTATTTAATGAATTCTAACTTTACATTGTTCCCAGAAACTTCATAAGGTTACAAAACAATGCACCCTTGTACCTAGACACCACACTGGGGTGTACAACCAGGTAAGCGGAAGCTCTTTCCAGTGGATCAAAAGCCAAACCAACTCCAGATGCATCGCAGACACTCCACCCACGAAAGAAAATGCACAGCAGTGAAAATATCGGAAGTGAACGCCATTGTCTTTTCTGAGATGGTGTGAATGACATGGTCTTCATAAGCTCATATGTCTGAATGCTTGATTCATAGTTAGAGGAGCTGTTTAGGAAGGATAAAAAGGTGTGGCCTTTGGGGCAGAGGTGTGCTACTGGGGGGGGGGGGGGGGGGGGGCTTTGAGGTTTCAAAAGTCCATGCCAGACCCGCTCTTACTCTCTTTCTGCTTCCTGCCTGCTGCCATGCTCTCTGCCATCATGACCATGAATTAATGAGATAAGCCCTGAATAAAAGGTAAGCTACGAGTAACACCTCTCATATGAGGTACACAGCAGTCAAAATCATACAGACATAAAGGATCTTATTTGTTCCACACCATGTTTTGTTTGCATGGCTACCTTTCCGTAGCTTTCTCATGGTGAACTTCCAGAACACAAGGCACCAAAACATCTCCAAGGCCAAACCTTATGTCCTCCCCTGGCTCATCTCTCCATGATGGTAGTTCATGCCTGGATCCAGCAGCAGGGCACGCTCCACCTTCTTGCAGGTGCAGGCCATTGCCTCAAATAAGATGACCTACTGCTCGCACTGCACAGATGTGAGTCTCATTCCACCCCACATCTGTAACACTGCATTCTTCAATATTACTATGACAGGTTTTTGGTTGAGAAAACCTTTGTTGTAGTCATATGAACTTTAAGATATAACGGGAACCACTAAATGTCAGTGGCATTTCCCTGATTCCTATTTTGACAACCAAAGGTGTCTGAAAACATCACCAAACATCTCTTAGGAGGCACATAAGCCTCCTGTTAAGGACTACTGCTCTAACCCCAAGAAGATGACTTGCCTCTAAAGGAACACGACAGAACTTTCGAGTAAACACCGCATGACTGCCTACTGCCTGTTGAAGATCCTTACAGAGTGGCCTAATTAGCCAAGTCCCGTCTCTCTTATACTGCAACCTCCTGCAACACCAACACAGGTGCCCTCCTTCAAATAGGAATTCAATCAAGCCAACTGTTCACGTGCACTCAGAGTTCGTGGTGACCAAATACCAAATGAATATCAGAAACATTTAGAAAAATTAGGATACTAGAAATTAAAATTTCTCAAGCTTATTGTGAGATATGCATTGCTAGGCAGCTACTTCAGCCTGAAAGCAATATACTAAAAAAGGTTTTAAAAGATTAGAAAGGGATTTTTTTTAGGCCATTTAGGAGTCTGAGTTTAAACGGTAATAGAAAATATACATTGTCAGATATATATGACTATCGTTTTTTTGAAGCGTAGCTACTGCAGCTCTCCACACTCCTTTCAAAAGTGTTCATAAACAATGAGCTGAGCTGGCCTGCTGTGCAGCTCTTGGCAGTCCTATAGCAGAAAGGTTCAGTGATGGGAGGGTGTTAATTAATTACACTATAAAATAGAATTACAATTAATTGTTAATTTAGGTTTAAAAGTGACAGACTTTAAAGGCTAAAAATAGTTTTGATCTTTAAAAGGCTTCTTAATGAGGGCAGTACACTTTAAGTACATCATTAGTTTAATTGTTCAAATTGGGTCTAGAGACTGTTAGAGTTAAGCAAATATCTATTCCAATATGTTAAATGTTTATGACTTGGGACAGAAACAATTAATTGTTAATCGATGGATCCAATACTAGGTGAGGTCAGGTTCTGAAATAAGAGGACGACAACAGTAAATTGAACGTAGAGGTTTTGATGTGGCCCTATAAAAAATCGCAGGAAAGCAAAGACTCAAAGAATAGCAAGAAGGCTAACCCATCAGAAATGTCCAGATAATGAAGATATTACTCATTTAGTTAATAGTGGCTTTCAGCAGTGTCTTTTGTTTATATTAATGGGCCATTATTCTTTAGAACTATACTTAAACGTCTATAGTTCACTTAACTTACACATATAATTCAGAATAGGAAACAGTAAAACTCGGTGCGGCTTAAAGCAGGATAATACTTAGCTGGAAGCTGAGATTAACCCTGCTCATAATTTTTACATAGTCTCTTGATTTGTTCTATAATTAACACCCCTTTCACCACCACGCAAGGCTTCTACCATTGCTCTATATCTGAGAAGCAGAGCAGCCACTGCAGGTTTAATATGTGTGACCTTTACGAACCTTCAGTTCAGGGGAGAGACTCCAGAGGCAAAGCTGACCCTCCTGGCTTCCGGTCACTATGGTTTGCTGGTCGTCTGTGATCATGATGGCTGTGATGCTGTGGGGGGGAGCTTTCCTTCCCCAGAGGGCCACAGCCTGCAAAGCGCTCCTCATGGCGGACGAATTCAAATACAGAGATCTGAGAGGGAGAAACACGCATGGTTATCTCTCTTAAATCCGAGGATGCTCAGAGCTGTAACTCCAGCAATGGAGAGATGAGGGAGGGGTGCTGACCCAAGCTCAGGCTTGGCTTGGGCTACACAGCGAGTTCCAGATCAACTGTATTTGAGAAGCTGTGATGGGAGTCACGGAGGCCACTTCTTGCAACACCAGAACATATTTACTCCATGACCTAGCCAACCCACTCTACCTCTTTTTAATCAACAGGAGGAAAAAAAAAAGTGTGTTTATACATGTACAGCCTTATTTACAATAGCTAGCCAAATATTAGTTAATAGATATGAATCCTCAACAAAATAAGTGACACATTGACTCGCATTACATGAATACAAAAAACAATTATTTGAAAATATCAAGAAGCTACAAAGAACAATGCTGTATGATCCTCTGGATAAAATACTAGAATGTTCACATTAGTAGAAGGCAGAGATCAGAGCAGCAAAGCAGTGGGGACAGGAAGAAGCAACAGGAGAGTGGGAGGACCCCAAATGAAACATGGAGAGCTTTTGTTCTAGTTTAAGAGTTACTGTATCTGTAGTTACATGCATGCATGTGCGTCTGTGCACATAAGCGCAGCCTCTCTGGAGCCAAAGGAGGGAGTCAGATTCATGAAGCTAGAGTTATAGGTGGCTGTGAACCATTTGATGAGGGCTGGTGACTGAACTCCATCCTCTTGCAAGAGCAGTGTGGTGTCTTAACTGATGAATAATCTCTGGAGGTCACAAATACTGATAGCTTTGAGTCTGGTAAAAAAAATATTATCTTAACTCTGGTGGTAGGTGTATAAGTCTGTATAATAAAATGTATGCTTCAAATGTACATATTTACTACATAGTTATTAAAGTATTCTACATGTCAAGTATACTTCACTAAAGTTGGATTTTGTGTGTTTGCTTGAGGGGGGTAGAATTCTGAAAGATACTGTAACAAACCAAGTCTGAAAAGAATCCTTACGGAAACATAATTGCAATTGTAAGTAAATTAACAATAAAAAGTTACAACGCAGCCCACAAAAATAATAAACCATGAGCAATCAGGGTGCCCTGGGGGCTAATAATAAGTGAGTAATCTAAAACTCACCATAGAAATTATTAAAATGACAAAGGCATTAAAACCTTAAAAATAAAAAACAAAGAAGAAAAAGCCAGGCCTTGTTACACAAACCTATAGTCCAAAAGTCTTGAAAACTTGAGGCAGGAGGATACTAATTAAAGCCTAGCCTAGACTACGTAGTGATATCTCTCTTTCTCCCTCTCTGTCTCTCTCTGTCTCTCTCTCTCTTTCTCTCTCAAGAATTTAAGGTTTGGGGATATAGCTCACTAGTGGAGAGCTTGCATTCTTATACTGCATTCATGAGGCCTTAGGTGCAATTGGTACAAACAACTGAAGGATAGACCAGATCATCTTGGCTGTGGGTATGTCTGTGAGGAATTGTCTTGATTGCTGATTGATGTGAGAAGGCCCCACCCACTGTGGGCAGTACTACCACTGAACAGGTAGTTCTGAGTTGTACAAGAAATCAGGCTGAGCAAGCCTTGGGGAGCAAGATAGCAAACAGGGTTTGTCATGGTTCCTGTCTTTGTTCTTGTTAAGAGTTCTTGCCATGGCTTCCTGCGATGATGAATTATAACCTGGAAGTACAAGACGGATAAATCTTTTCCTCCTCAAGTTGGTTTTGGTCATGGTGTTTATCACAGAAATCAAGGTAGGACTAACATAGTCATAAAAGATGGATGTTGACTAATACACTAGAGGGGAAACATAAAATTTAGATAAAAACATAAAAGTGGAAGTTAACCGTGTTAACTCGGTCTGAAGGAAAGAATACTGATTAAACCTTCTTAAGGCAGGAATCATGACAGTATATGAAAAGAAACCAAGAGGTGTTACAATCAAGCAGTAGAGAGAAAAAGGAAAAAATATTGGTCAATAGAAGAGAAAAACTCAAGAGCAAAGAAGCAGCATCAGGAAGAGGAAAATGCAAACTTAAGTGTAAATTCACATTCAAACATCCCAGAAATTATAGTAAAAGTAAGTGGAAGAAACTGCTAGTAGAAATACAAAGTTTCTTTTATAAATTTTTTTTTTATTTCTTGTGTATATGCTGTTGTCTAACATTAATATTTACTACTGACTTATCTTTTAGTTAAGCAGCGGTTATTCCTAAACCAGCTGTATACCCAAATCACCACACAGAGACCGGGATGTATTTACTAGGATGTTAACCTAGAGCGCAATGCTGGGCAATAATTACTTCATCCTAAACCTCCAAGCCTGCATAGCTTCCTCCCATTCAGAATGTCCGACACTGTACTTGCTTTTAGTCATATCTTAGGTCCGATTCATCTCCCCTCATGGTTCCAAGTCCTCTCCTGCAGACTCTGCTTTATGACTCCTCCCACCTGCTTCTTTCTCCTCCAGATGTCCCACCCTATTCTCTCCATTGTTCAGCACTGGCTGGTTGTTTAATTGAAAATACAGAGAACAAATGGTGGCATGTTTACACAAACTTGAGACAGGTGATGCTTAGAATAAGCATCACAATGCAATGACCAGGTTGAAACCAGATAGTGGGGTAGAGAAATCAGCATTTGAATGAACAAGGGTAAATTGTATACATTCCACAAGAACATTATGCCAACATCTGTATTTTGTCTGCATATATGTCTGTGCATCATGTGCATGTCTGATGCCCAATGAGGCTAGAAGAAGGCTTTGGATCCCCTGGGATCAGAGTTATACATGGCTGTGAAACACCATGTGGGTGCTGGCAAACCTGCGTACTCCAGAGTACTCTAGAACCTGAGTACTCTAGAGGAGCAGCCAGTACTCTAAACAACTGAACCATCACTCTAGACCCAAGACAAAGCTCCTTAATTAGGCTATCGCAGAACAGATTCTAGTTACAAAAGCTTCCTAAGACATTAGCATGCCATAGCTGGAAATAAAAGCCAAGTAATGACACGCCACATAAATTGTAATCAATAGCATTTAAAATATGAGTTGTATTGAAAAGGTGTGAAGAGAGTGGACAGCCTTGTCTTGTCTCTGATATTAGTGGAATTGCTTTGAGTTTTCCTCCATTTAATTTGATGTCAGCAATTGGCTTGCTGTATATAGCCTTTATTGTGTTTAGTTATGAGCCTTGCTTCCCTGATCTCTCCAAGACTTTCATGATGAACAGATGTTGAATTTTGTCAAAGACTTTTTCTGCATCTAATGAGATGATCAAGTGATTATTTTTGAAGTCCTAGCTAGAGCAATAAGACAACTAAAGGAGATCAAAGGGATACATAGTGGGAATGAAGAAATCAAAGTATCACTATTTGCAGATGATATGATGGTGCACATAAGCAGCCACAAAACAATCTACCAGAGGACTCTGATAGCTGATAAACAGCTTTAGCAAAGTGACCAGATACAAGATTAATTCATTAAAAAAAAAATCAGTAGTCTTCCTGTACACGAACAATAAGTGGGCTGAGAAAGAAATTATGGAAACTACACTTTTCACAAATAATATAAAGTATCTTGTTGTAACTCTAACCAAGGAGATGAAAGACCTTATGACAAGAATGTCAAGTCTCTGAAGAAAGAAACTGAAGAAGATATCAGAAGATGGAAAGATGTCCCATGCTCATCATTAACTTAGTAAAAATGGCCATCTTACCAAAAGCAATCTAGAGATTCAGTGCAATCCCCAGCAAAATGCCAACACAGTTCTTCACAGTCCTTGAAAGAACAATTCTAAACTTCATATGAAAAAAACAAAACAAAACAAAACAGAACACAATAGAAAAACTTCTGGAGGTATCTCTATCCCTGACTTAAAGCTATACTACACAGCAATAGTGATAAAAAACTGCATGGTACTGGCATTGATATAGACTGGTTGATAAATGGAATGGAATCAGACACCCAGAAATAAACCCACATACCCATGGTCACTTGAGTTTTTTGACAAAGGAGCCAAAACCATACAATGGAGAGAAAAAAAAAAAAAGAGTATCTTCAACAAACTGTGCTTGTTGAACTGGATGTCTACATGCAGAAAAATGCAAATAGATCCATATTTATCTCCCTGCACAAAACTCAAATTCAAGTGTATCAAAAGACTTCAATATAACACCAGAACTACTATATCTATTAGAAAAGAAGGTGGGCAAGAGCCTAGAACTCATCAGCACAGGAAACAACTTCTTGAACAGAACACCAACAGCTCAGGCTTTAAGATAAACAATTAATAAATGAGACCCCTTGAAACTGAAAAGCTTCTATAAGGTAAAGGAGCTCCACAAGAAGACCAACAGAGCCAAATAACCAGGGCTCTGAAGGGCTTTCTGAGACTGAAGCATCAACCAAGATCTATGGATGAACTGGACCTAGGACCCCTCCAAAGATGTAGCAGATAAACAGCCTGTGGTTCCTCTAGTAAGCAAAGTGGGGACTGTATCAGACATGGACTCACTTGCCCGATCTCTGGTCACTCTCCCCTGGTGGGACTGCCTTGCCAGGCCACAGGGAAAGAGGACATGCTCAGTCCTGATGCAACTTGATGAGATGGGCTGGATGGGAAATGGAGCTCCCTTTTTCTTTAGAAAAGGGGAGGGATAGGGAAAAGAAGGTGGGACTGGGAGGGGAAGAGGGATGGGGCCACAAGGATGTAAAGTGAATAAATAATTTTAAAAAAAGAAATATGAGGTTTAAAGGAAGCCACCGTTAGATGTTGAAACAACCCTTTACACAACTATTAAATACATCATTTACTAGAAAAGGGTAATACTATATAGGAGCAATATTTGTCCAAAAGCCTAAATTTTTAAGTTATATTTCTTCTAATACCCTTAATACACATATACAATGTATTTCCTCTAAAGATATTTAGAATAGAAACAATGTGTTTTAAATGGTCTGTGACCAACCAAGAAACACATAATAACAATCAGATATTATCAAGGC